GTCAAATGTCACGTATTATATGACATTTATTGATTGAGGGTAACCATTTGCCATCATCTCTTTTATTAAGACAATTTGGCCTTTTTTAATTTCTATGGTCCTCTATTCCCTGCTCAAGTAATGCATTAATTAGTGATCAGTGTAGTAGTGTCTTCTAGCTCGGAAGCTCTAAAGAAGACATAGAAGAGGATGTCGAAATCTCGGCGAAATGATAATTGACACCTGGAAGACTGTTGAGTTTATTATTAATACCTGTAATAGTATTAATCATAGGGCTAGGTTTAATTGTACTAACTGCGAAAACGGCGATGACGACCTGCTTTGTGATTTATGTTGCAACTGTTAATCAGCTGGATTATATTTTTCAATATTACTGATGTATAATTGGCGTTTTGCAATATGGTTGAATTCGTTGATTCGACATGTACGTATTACTTCTAGTTTAATTGCGTCAGCATGTTTAATACATTGCAAATATTAGTTTTTTTGTTTTATTATGATGAATAACAGTTCTTTTGCTTTGTTGTACAGGGTGTTGTGTTTTGTACTGCAATACAGTTCAATATTATTTTTGGTAATACACAGGGTCTTTTGAGGATGCAGTTGAATATATCTTCTTAATCGTTGAATAGTGATCGAATGGAGTCCTGTATCGAGCGGCGGCGGCATTAGACGAAATAACGACAGACCTGTTTAGAGCAATTGACGATTGACGAAACAGAGCAGTTAAGATAGTATATGCTTAATTCTCCTTTTACATGTTACTACCATGTTTGTTTTTTAATATCATTGTATTTTATTCATTAAATCCTATCATATGATCTCTTGCACGTCGCAATTGGACCAACAATAACCGAGGATGTACTATACTGCTTTAGTGGCAGCGTGAGCGTTAATTTTTCGCCCCCTCCCCTTTTAAGCGATATTTCACAACTCACCCTAAATCGTCGTTCTCACTCTTACACATATGGCGCATCCACCAAAATATACTTCTCTCTCTGTAACATTAATTTCCCTATGCTGATAGTCATAACCCCTTGTTCCTCTAAAGCCATTGTTTCCAATATGTTCTTCAACACTACCTTGCTCTGTCTTAGCGTTAATGTTACCCATTATGACCATGATATGTTGAATCTTTGTTATTTTCATAGCATTTTTAAGGAATTATAAAACTCATCGATTTCATCGTCTTTGTCTGCTGTTGAGGCATAAACCTGTATAGGGTTTAGGATAATACATTTAAGTTTTACTTACATTAATATTACTTAATCTAAAAGCTCTGTGTAATCTCTTTAACAGAATTTATGACACTGGGATATTACCAACTGATTGGTTAAAGTTGACATTTCTCACAATACCTAAGAAACATCGTCCAAAGACATGCGGTGATTATCGGACAATAAGTCTGATGAGTCACGTTTTAAAAATCTTTCTGCGAGTAATACACAGCAGAATTTACACGCTGTTAGAGGACAGAATTAGCAATACTCAATTTGGGTTTAGGAGTGGCTTGGGTACAAGAGAAGCCTTGTTTAGTATACAGGTGCTAGTACAGAGATGCAGAGATATAAATCAAAATGTGTATATTTGTGCAATCGATTTTGAAAAAGCTTTTGACAAAGTCCGACATAACAAAATGCTAGAAATATTGAAAACATCTGGATTGGACGATAAAGATCTACGAATAATTACAAATTTATACTGGCATCAAGTGGCAAGAATAAAGGTTGAACAAGAACTGTCGGATGAAATAAATATAAAAAGAGGAGTGAGACATTGCTGTATACTGTCGCCTTTACTTTTAAACTTATATTCGGAGGAAATATTTAAGGAAGCCTTAATGAAGACAACCGAAGGTATTATTGTGAATGGAGTAACCGTCAACAATATTAGATATGCCGACGATACCTTAGTCCTTGCCAATTGCGGAGAAGACCTTCAAAATCTAATGAACAAAATAAAACAGACTTGTGATTAGTATGGATTAAAACTCAACGTTAGGAAAACTAAATATATGATAGTTAGCAAACACAATTATATACATGATGGTATAAAAGTCGGAGATGTTACACTGGACAGAGTAGAGAAACTCGTGTATCTCGGCAGTAATATCAATGAGAGCTGGGATCCAACCGCAGAAATTAAAAGCCAAATAGAACAAGCCCGAGCTGCCTTTGTAAAAATGAGAAACGTACTTTGCAGTCACGATCTTAGCATTGACCTTAGAGTTCGTATGATATTTTGCTACATCTTTCCTGTCCTGCTGTATGGAGTAGAAGCGTGGACCCTAACTGAGGCTATGCTTAAACGCTTGACAGCCTTTGAGATGTGGGTATACAGACGACTACTGAAAATAAGCTGAGTCGACAGAGTTAGAAATGAGGAGGTCCTTAGACGACTGAACCAAACAACACAACTGGTCAATATAATAAAGAAACGCAAGCTGGAATACTTCGGTCATATTATGAGACACCCTGAAAAATATGATCTTTTACATCTGATTATTCAGGGAAAGATCCAAGGTAATCGTGGTCCTGGTAGAAGAAGAACATCATGGCTGAAAAATCTAAGGCAATGGTATGGAAAATCAACTACATTGTTATTTAGAGCTGCTGTCAATAAAGTAACGATAGCGAATATGGTAGCCAACATGATATCCAACGATCGATAACGGTCATGGAACTAGAAGAAGAAGAATCTAAAAGGGCAGTGTAGTTAACCATGGTAGCACGAAATGCCGATCAGCTCTACTATAGTTTCCAGCATAGTAAAAGATTTTGCAGTTTTGAGTCCGACTTTTTCCAGACCTTCTCTATCGCTAGTTTTCGATATATCTGACTTTTGATCACTTTTTAATGACTTTTAAAAAAGTATTACAATTATTACTTTGATTTTTTTCACAAAACTCTAGGAAATATAATGTATTCAGCGTATAAATATGTAAAGTGTTTTTTTAATCACAAAATGCCTATACTCACCGTCAGCTCGTGCTGTCAATCTTTGTATTGCGAGAAAAATACTACTTCTTCGTGCACTCATTCCATTAATTGTGTACTATTATAAACTTGGAGATGCCCACTACGTCAGATTCCCTATTAATTTTTTAATGAAGTTAACTGTACCTGTGTTTATGTAAAGGTTATACAAAGACAGCGATTTACTTCATAAAATCATGTACTTGCTTTTAGTTAATTAGAGTGTCTTCCGATGCTTATCGGGTAATTTATATCACCAATCCTGCTAATTTCCTTAGCTATTAAAACTGCCTGTCGGATGTGGATAATGAGCGAATTATAACTAATTTGTGCCAATTTCTGAATTAATCTACGACACTAGGTATCCATTCTTTAGGAACGGGACCGTTATAACGTTTTAGTCGTTAATTTAAAACGGTGTAATGGGATATTTTTTTAAATTACTTATGAGTTATGACTTTTATGAAGTTTTAAATAATTCCACTATTAATGTAATTATATAAAATGTAAATTTAACTCGCCAAAATAGTGGAATCACTACTGCAAAATAGACGACTCTACGTTTCTATGTAAGTATTTAAGTGGGGGCAGGGGGAATTGTTGGTGAATTTAAATAAACTTAGTTCAGCTACAAAAATGATCAGACGCGCACGACTTGGCGGTCAGCTCAAGACACAAGCTTTGATAAAATGAGATACAAATTGGAACCTATCATAGAAGAATGCGCTTGATGTGCCGTGTCAAAAGCGTAGTGTTTGCGAAGACTTTGTCTGAACTTTTTATTTTTTTCTCTTCTTCTTCTTCTTCCAATGGCGCTACAACCCAAATTGAGCCTTGGCCTCCTGTAACTTCTGCCTCCAACAAAGGCGATCCCGCGCCACTCGTCTCCAAGCCCTGACGTTCAATAAGTTGTGCGCATCTGCTGTGACTTCGTTCTCCCATCTATTACGTGGTCTTCCCTTTGGTCTTCTGCCCTGCATTTTACCATCCAAGGCCTTTCTCGGCAATCTGTCGGCATCCATCCGTACCACATGACCAGCCCATCGAAGCCTTTGTACTCTAGCGAACTCTGCAATAGGTGCTTCTTTGAACAGTTGGTAGAGTTCATGGTTATATCTAGATCTCCACATCCCATTTTGAGTGATGGGTCCAAAGATCTTCCTTAAGATTTTTCTCTCGAAAACCTCTAATCTTCGTTTAGTGCTTTCTGTCAAAACCCATGTCTCGCATCCATAGCATACTATCGGTCTGATGATAGTTTTATAGACCTTAAGTTTCGATTTTCGATGTACCGTCTTGGAGCTGAATATGTTAATCAGGGAAAAATAGGCTTTATTTCCCTTCGTTATTCTCTTCTGAATTTCGGCCTCTTCTGTTCCCTCCGTATTCATTTCGATTCCCAGATAAGTAAAACTCTTCACTGTTTCAATGTCATCCTCTACTTTGATTTGATTTCTTGTTCGCTTTGTCCGCGTCTGTGTTAGTATTTTTGTCTTCTGTGTATTTATTTCAAGTTCAATTTCCTTGCCCGTTTTTTTCAGCTGCGAATATGTTTCTGCTGCATCATCCACTCTGCGGGACATGAGGTTAATGTCATCCGCATATGCGGCGAGCTGGACAGATTTGTTTGTTAGGAGATTGGCTCTTCCGACATTCAGCTTTCTGATGACATATTCAAGGGCCAGATTGAACAGTGTTGGAGCTAGTCCATCACCTTGTTTCAGCCCTTGAACTATTTCGAAGCTGTCAGTTAATTCGTACTGTATGCGTACAGTTGCTATTGTGGAGTCCATCGTTGCTTTTACTAGTCGGATATATTTCGAGGGAATATTGAAGCTTTCCATGATGTTATATAACCGGCTTCTATTCATGGAGTCATAAGCCTGTTTGAAGTCGACAAATATATTGTGAACATCAATATCAGTCATTAATATATTTTTTTCTCTAGTTGCCTTTATATTAGTACCGCTAGAATCCACTCCTTTGCCTTCTTCTTCAACATGATATCGAAAGTTTTCCAATAACATAACAGAACTGGTGTAGGATTCGCACAAGCGTTTTCTACCTCTGGACCTACACAATCGGGCAAAAAGGTAATTGGGGTATTTAATAATTTTTCCAGTTCTTCAACAACAGGTCTCATAGTGTTCTTTGGATTGGGATTACCATCTGGGTGACCTTTTAATCAAAGAAGTTTTTTCTTATTTACTCCTAACTTGATTTTTGTGACATGTTCGCTATCCCTTCCCACTGATTCAATTATGATAAAGAAAATTCGTTAAGACTAAATCTTACTAAAACTCAGATCTCCTCAATCACATTTAGTCCCTAGAGGCCAAAAGGAAACTCAACATTATCTGGAATATCACTACGCAGCGAGTGTACAACGAAAACAACTGGACCGCTTGTTAAGAGCGTAGGCGCAAATTTTAGACGGAGCGAATAGACACTGGCTCTCCTATCCCTAGTTTTTCTTTCTTTACACAGCAAATTACGTGTAGTAAAATTCTCGTTGGTATAAACGCTTTAAATCTGTCAGTATCTAGCTTATCCAGAATCGGCTCAGCACGAGCTGCGTTGTATAGTTATTTTTTATTTACATAGATTAAAGTATGTGACGTTGTTACAAGAAATGTGTTAACGAAGTGTAAAACGAAGAAATAGACGGTTAGCTAAATTGAAGTAAGTACTTCAATACAAATACAAAAGTAATTAATTTCATTTATATAATTAATTTGTAAATGTATAGTGAAAATATTATCTATAAACTGAATTAGTGAACCAATAATTTTGGTATTAAATTTTATTTTCGTTTAAAGGAATAAACTATTTGTTTGCTTTTTGTGGATTGTATGTTTGTGGTTATCACTGCTAGCATTGTAGTAGAATGTTAATACGCTATTTATTATTTTGTGCCTATGTAGTATTTTTTTTTGCATTTTTACCGCTTTCTAACCTTTTTTATTCGATTCTATATTTTTTTTTAAGTTCAAATATATATATTTTTTAATTTTGCCAATATTAAGTGGGCCAGAAATTATTATTTACAAATAACGTTCTCAAACTGAGAGTCACGCAGAGAAGAATGGAGCGGTCCATGTTAGGAATAACTCTCCGAGACAGAATAACAAACGAAGACATCAGGAGAAGAACCGGAGTGACTGACATCATCGAGAAGATAGCCAGACTAAAATGGAGATGGACAGATGGGCGATGGACAAAGAGGTTATTGGAATGGAGGGCAAGGGAAGACAAGAGAAGCGTCGGTCGACCACCTACAAGATGGACTGATGATTTAAGAAGATTAAATAAAAACTGGATAAGAGCGACGCAAGATAGACGGGGTTGGAAACATGAGGAAGAGGCCTATGTTCAGCAGTGGGCTCTTGAGGCTGGATGATGATGAACGTTCTCAAATCGCTTCGAGTAAATTTTTTTTAGACGTTTCTCATTAAAGTAAATACTTTTTCTATCCTTTTAATTTTTTAAAAAATGCTTACGTTTCGAGTTCTTTGCAATTTTTGTTAATTAACTTTAACGTTAAGTAACCTTAGTTATTAATTTTTGTAATTTTTTTCTAAAAATCTACTACTAAATGAATTACAATTCTACAAAAACTGTATATTCTTTTGAACGAAACCAACAAAAGATATTAAATAAGTAAAAGCATTTTTTACTGCTTATCCTTGCAATTATTTAATTTAACTATTGCAAACGATACACTAGTTATCCAGAAATCCATGATGAGTTGGTCGAAGGAGAAACTGTAGTTACTAAGTAAATAATACATTAAGTTTTTGGAGATCAATGCTTGAGGCTGAACAAGAAAAAGTTAAATTAGCAAAAGATCATGGAGATATTAATGAAGATGGCTATCCTTTTATAACTGTTGTTGCGGACTGCTCTTGGTCAAAGAGATCATATAAAACAAATTATAACGCTAATTCTGGAGCTGCAGCTATTATTGTGTACAAAATCTTTTGGGTTCTTGGTGTTAGGAACAAAAACTGTTCCTACTGTAAATAATACGGAGAAGATAGAAGATAGAAGAAAGTCAAATATTTCTAGATACTCTAACGATATATCTACTAGCCATCTTCATGTATTTGGCAATCATTCGAATTGTGCAGATTATTTTTGTCACAGAAAATCATCAGAAACAGATTATACAATATCAATGAAAAAATGCAGCCTTTTCAAAGATATTAACACATGTGCAGCAAGATTAAAATTTCATGCAAATAGTCTTATAAAAAATATAAGTAACAATTATGCTGAACAATATAATAATGTTATAGCAAAGTTTCTAGAAGGTAAAAGAATAAATTATAGGTCTCGGGGGTCCTATGAAATGGGATGGCACGCTGCTGTTTGTCGTAGCACTGGAAAGAATATTATCACCGATCCCTTCACAAAAGCATCACAGAAAGAAGTTCTGGGGTATATACTAACAAATTTATTTCAATATGCACCAAAAATACATTGCGAAGAAAATTATATTACAGAAATTATATGGCAAATATCAAAAAAATATATAAAAAAAACCATGCTCCAATAACCAAACTAGAATAAACAAAAAGTTTTTTTTAAATGGGATATTTGAGATTAAAAATCATACTAAAATTCCTCTTCTTTTTCACCCCTGTAACTTATTAACATAAACATGACAGAAGTTTTCCGGGACTTTCGGCCCTCGGTAATAATGTAATCTTTCATTCCGCGTTTAAATTTTTCAAAAATATTTATTAGTTTTCTCAGGATTCGAAAAAAAAATAATTAAAAAGCATTGGCCCGAAATTTTGCGCCTACGCTCTTAACATACATGTCCCATTGCAAAAAGACAAACCAAAAAAATGGTGGGTGCGCTAACAGTCTAAAATTTAGCAAATGGAGTGCAAAACCCACAGGACTAAGATCAACGAAACAGACGCTATGCGTATCAACGGAGGAATATGCAGGTCCGGTATGAAACAGATCTGCGCAGACCAGCCTGAACGAAACATGTAGATTAATTTTGTTGTAAAAGAAATAGTTATGAATATATTCATAATAACTTACCTTCAGTTGTAACATTAAACATTTGATCCGACACAGTAGTCGACGAATTTCTATTGTCAACAACTGTCCAAGTTATCAAACTTCCAGGTTTACTTGTTGTTGGCTCCTGACTATGATGTGAATCTTCAATTTCATTCGTAGCTACGTTTCCACTGACGGTCTGTAACGTCTGCGTATTGTTTGGTTTGCTAGTCGTCATACCAACAGTTGTAGACTTAGTAGTGGTTGGTGTAGAGCTTGGTGAAGTAGAACTTGATACACGATGTGTGCTAGTTGATAATGTTGAGCTGGGAGATTTTGTTAGAATTTTCTGTGTAGTGGTTCTTGTAGGTTTCGTCGTTGTTGACTTTTCAGTCGATGGTGTTACTCTTTTAGTTGGTTTTGCTGTGCTACTTTTAGTTGGCTTTGTGAAAGTTGTTGATGCTTTAGTAGTGCTTTGGGTTTTTTTCGTGGCAAGGGTTGGTTTAGTAGCTTTTGTTGGTTTCTGAGTTGCTCTTGTTGGAGGGCTTCTTGTTGTTTTAGTTGGTTTATTTGTAATTTCTAAACAACATATAAATTAGTATTTAAGCAGTTATTACATAGTAAATAGTTTGATGTATGAGTTTTCAATTTATTTAAGAATGTGTTTCTGTACCGCACACAATAAATTTAAAGTATAATACAAACATTTAAGTTGTTCATAGTAAATTACTCATAGATGTTCCCTTTTACATAATTTTTGTAAATATTTCTGTCTCACTGAAAAAAAATTCAAGCTTTGTAAAATTAAACTATGTTTATATTTATATATGAAACAATTAGAAGATATGAAACTTCTGAACTAAATTGCTCATCATCTATAGGGGGAGGGAAGGCATATGTGGACAGTGGCACAATAGACAGTTGATTTTTTTCGTCTAGACTATTTTTCGAGTGGTTCTAACTCACTTTCCTAGGTGGCACTGGTGATATAGTTCACAAAATATAAAAATACAATAGATTTTTTTAAATGAAGATGAGGACAGTCTAGTAAGTTATTAATCTTCGAAGTTGCAGTATGGATTAACCTACTTTCAAATTCGAACATTCGCATATGAGTATGCTCTAAAGCTTAAAAAAAAGTGCGCCAAAACCATGTTTCAAAGTGTCAAATTCTTTTTCTGAAATTAAGTTTATGAAAGGTTTCATGAAGAGTCACAATAATTTATCTTCGCGAAAACTGGAGTCTACGAATCTAGTCAAAAATATCAGTTTATATAAAGTTAACGTAGACATGTTTTTTGATTACCTAGGGACTGTGAACGTGGATGAAAGCGGAGTGAACACTGTTTTGCAAATGCCAAAAGTGGTCGTAAATAAGGGTTGTAAGTTATTGGGACAAGCAGTTAGAGCAGAAAGAGGTGAGCAAGTGACGTTTGTTAAAATAATCATTGCCAATGGAAATGCTATTACAGCTGTTTATATCTTCCCACTAGTGTGATTTAAAGAGTCATTCCTGACTGAAGCTCCAGAAGGCAGCATTGGTATTGCTTCTCAAAGTGGTTGAATGACCAACGAGGAATTTTTTGAAGTTGTACAGCATATTTAAAAAACATGCATGCTTCTAAGGAAAACCCTTTTTATTAATACTTTTGGATAACCATATTACATATGCAACTTTAGATGTTATATAGTATTGCGGGTAAAATGGTTTAGTACTCTTAACGTTTCTTGCATACACAACACATCGTTTGCAGCCTCTAGGTGTGTGTATTTGGCCCTTTTAAGGGTCGTTGTCTTGCAGCATTCAGCATGAATGTCTACACATTCGGGAAAGCTATAACAAATAACTCTGACGAAGCGGATTTTCGTTTATTTTCGTGGGTATAATTTGGGGATAATTAAATGTATTATCTTAAATAAATATTAAAAATTACACGTAGAAAAAGTTTATTATTTTATTTCCATCAAAATCTAAAAATGTTGTCTTGTCCACATGTGTCTCCCTGCTGAATCTCATTTTAAGGTATAAATTTTTATTTTGAAATTTGTCCACATGCACCCCCTCACCCATTTTGTCATTATGGCACCAAAATACGTCAAATATCGCTAGTAACAAAGTACCTTTTTATGAATTCATTCATTCAATTTGATTGCGAGTTAACTAAACTGCTAATCCAAGCTTACTGAAAGCTATTGGACGATGTTAGAAATAACCTTTTGTTCTAACAATACATTTACAATTTACCCTTGAAAAACACTATCTTTTGTACACTTTACATTAAGAAAACACGTTGAAATAAAAGTATACGATTGCATAGAGGTGAAGAGGATTTTATTTCAGTTTGAGCTACCACAAGTGTACCTGAGGAGAGCTGAAACCTCGAAATACTTGTAAAACAATGGTGGAACTTAAATTAAAAAGAAATGCAATCGTTTACCTTTATATATATATATATATATATATATATATATATATAATAGAGTGAAATAAATAATTAATAAAGAAACAATTACCTGAAATCACTGGTTTTGAAGTAGTTTGAGTACTGGGTTTTACTGAGACTTTAGTTGTTGAAGTTGAAATAGTTGGATATGTTGGTGTAGCACTAGTTAAATTCGATGGACCTATTGAAGTCGTGGAACTTTGAACGGGTCTTTTGGTAATCGGTTTAATTGGCGCAGTCGATGAAGATAATGGTCGTATACTGCTGGGTCTTTTTGTTGGAGCAATAGTTACTGGTTGTTTCGTTACAAGTTTACTGCTGCTATGAACTGTCGTTATAACAGAGGGTTTGGTAGCTTCTTCTTGTATGTGATTAGTATTTACTACTTGGAATGTCTGTAATTTTTCTGACAGAGTCGTGCTGGATGTGCTTGTGCTAGTAGTCGTTGTTGAACTCGAAATGTTAAGTTTACTAGTTGTAGTTGAAACCGGTTTCATACTACCAGTACTGGTCACAGGTATTTTAGTAGTACTTGTACTTTTACTTCTTGTTGTCGTGCTAGTCCTTAACGTAGTCGAAGACACATTCTTCGGAGCTGACGTAATACTTGACGTCCTCGATGTAGTACTTGATATCCGGAATGGTGGTTCTCGATGGGGAATAATATCTGTGTCTATGTTGTTATCGATTATATCTTTAACAGGTTCTATGTGACAGCAGGAACCGAAGTAAAATCCATCTATGCAGGTACCCAAATGAGTACCGTTAGCTTTTAAACAGTCTATGGCAAACATGCAGTAACCGCTTAAGTTACTATTTCTCCTAGATATACACGGCAAATTTCGTATGTTTCTACCCGCCGTAGAACCTGCAACCAAAAATATTTGTGTAAAATATTTGTTATTAAAAAATAATTGTTTAATTTAAATGTAATAGTTAAATTATTAATGTATAAATAAATATATATAGATATATATATATATATATATATATATATATATATATATATATATATATATCAAATTGGTAAGTCAAGAAGAGTTCTAATGGTTAATCCATTTAATTGTGTGTGATGCACATCATAAGAGGTGAAAAATATGAAATACTAAGGAATATAAAGCAGGGTAAAATCAAAGGCAGAAGAACAGTAGGAAGACGTAAAACCTCGTGGCTACGCAATCTCCGTGAATGGTTTGGATGCTTTTCAATTGAACTTTTCAGACGGGTAACCAACAAAATTGTAATTGCCAGAATGAGTTACAATCTCCGTTAGGAGCAGAACTTGAAGAAGAAGAAGAGGAATAAATAAGATGGTCCTAAAAAGAAGAAATTTTTAAATAGAACTAAAATTTATATCACATGAAAACGAACTATTGTTGACGAAATAAATTCTCAACAAATATATTTTAACATATTTTATATTTAGTGTGACACAATGTGACCTATGTGCGATTTTTAAGTTTGAACACATGCGCATTGTTAAAAACAAAAGGTTCGTTATAAAAATGTTGGGCAGAAAGGATGACTTCTTGTCAGTCCAATAAAAAATTGTACTTATATAGTAGAAAATATATTAAGTTACATAAAAATATAAGTGGCTCTTCCCTTTGGAAATCCCATCAGTTTAGTGTTTGTGAAATCAAGGTTTTATCGTGAAAAGTTGCCTTAATTATCCCTAGCGTTCTCACCAGCGAAATTTTTTTAATTTTGTCAAAATCCAACACCTATGTTACTACGTTAGTAACAAATTTGCTAATCAAATATGTTTTTACAAAACATTTTGATTTTTTTAATTTGAAACAAGAGATTATTGTGGTAATACTGGAATTCCCCTCGTAAAGACGTAGTCGTCAAACATTAAAAAGCAATGAGAAGCTCGCCGCGACTACTTTGCAACGAGAAAAACCAGCAACAAGCGTAATTAACCATCATACACTCGAAGCAAATCTCGATCGTGGTCTTGTTGAATAATATAGCTCTCTGCTTGGATAATTAAATACCGATTCGGAAAGACTTTCCGTAATTCTACCATTTTTCAGTAATTTTTCAAAGTTAAAAAGAGAATAAATATTTAATGAATTCCTTTGAGACGTCATTTGCAAAGAAAGTTTTTCGTGTGGAAGTTTCTCATAAAAATTTCCTTGAAATACGGATGGCATCTAAAAATGTGTCAAGGAATTAAAAGGTTTGATACAATTTTTCATACTAATCAATTTTTATATAGTTATGACATATTTTATATTTAAAGTTAAGTATTTATTATATAGGAATCAAAGTAATTTTTATATTATCAAAAGTACTTCTCGTTCGCAGTCTGCCGTTTTTTAAATTCCTTCATGGCGTGACATGTGCTGTCTATGGTACTTGTCAAAGTCTCGGTAGAGTCCACATTTCAAATGCTTTAGTACGGTTCAGTGTTTTGTCTTTAAGAGACCACTTCTCTGTCTCATAAAATAAAATGAGCCATATGTAACACTTTACAATACCTACTTCAAGTGCAAGTGGAGGAAACTTTTGGCAAATGTTATTCTTCCACATTTGATCCATGTTTACTTTTTTTTGTCACAACTCTGTTTTTCGTTGAACGTGGCACCCAAATATTTAAATCGCTCTATAGTGTTTTCGTCAATTGTCAAAATACAAATACAAGAAATGCCAAACAAACCAACCACTAAATATGTTTATGTTGGTCTTTAGTAATGACAAAAATATCAATAAAATCTATGAGATATCAGATATAATGAGCGTAAAAGTACAAATATTTTTGCTAAGAAAATCAAAATTGGTACTTCAACGTAAGAGATGTCAGGCATATGGACACACACATGGTTACTGTGCAAAAGAACCAAGATGTGTCTGCTGCAACAGCCAAATGTGAGAAACCCAAGGACGCAAAAGCTAAATGTTGTGGAGAAGGGCATCCGGCTAACTATAGAGAATGTATCGTGGCAAAGGAAATACAAAAAATAAAAGACGAATATAACAAGAAACAGACCTTACCCAGACAATCACAAAGAATGCATCCAAAACCTGTATAAAATCCAAAACAAGAAGAAGACAAAACAAGAACGTATAGCATGGTAGCAGCTGGTAAAAGTAACGAAGAAAACTATAGTAGTCAAAAAGATCTGAAAATAAAAGAAACACTACAGAAAATATTAGAGAGATTAACTAACCTGGACGACCGTATAACCAGAATAGAATATAGCACCAAAGGAGCTATACCTAAAAGACTTGGAAATGACAGGTAGTTTACGAATAGTACAATTGAATGCAAACGGCATCTTGAGACATCAGCCAGAACTACAAGCGATACTTGATATAGAAAAAATAGACATATGCTTCATTTATGAAACTCATTATACGAATGAGTCATATATTAGATTTAGGGGTTATAAAATTTATCATACTACTAACCCTGATAATGCAGCCAAAGGAGGTACTGCAGTAACAAGCAAAGAAAATGTTATTCACTATCAGGAAATGGGATACAGAAGTAAACAATTTCAGGCCACAGCAGTAAAAATTAAATGTAAAAACTATGAGGTAATCGTCACAGTGGTTTACAGTCCGCCAAGACATGCCATCAAGTAAAATCAATATGCAGATTTCCTGACCAGTCAAGGACATAGATTTATTCTTGCAGGAGACTTCAAAGCAAAACATACATATTGGGGTCACGACTGACTACCACCCAAGGGAAATAATTTTTAGAAGCAATGAAATACATAGAATGCAAAGCAATATCAACGAAAATGCCAACATACTGGCCTACTGATACGAATAAAATTCCACACCTTATCGACTTCTTTGTAGTCAGAAATATTTCAACCAATTACATAGAGATATAAGAGGCAATGGATATGTACTCGGACCATTCTTCAATTATTCTTACACTCAGTGGCACTGGCATCAAAAAAGAAAGCCTCCTAGGCTTGCTAATAAAAATACTGACTGGAAAAGTTTCCAGATAGACCTTGAACAGGAGATAAACCTCTCCGTTCCATTAAGAACCGTTGATCAACTAGAGGCAGAAGTAAAATTACTCAATAAAAATGTACAACAAGCTGCTTGGAACAACAGCACGAACAGTGTCGAAAAAGTAAAAATAAATAACTACCCGAAAGAAATCAGAGAAACGATAACCAAAAAAAGAAAACTGAGACGCAAGTGGCATCAGTCTAGAGCAATAGTTGATAAAATTAGATTAAATAATGCCACATAAAATTTAAAAAGAGAAATTCAAAAAATTAAAAACTAGTCAGTGAGCATCTACCTAAGTAAACTATCAAATGATAGCACTACAATTATAAATACTAATGGTAGCTGGGCAAGAAGCAATATACAAAATACCAACACGTTTGCTGACCACCTTGAAAATACGTTTTAACCAAATGAAGAACAAGAAATAATTAACTGGGAGCTCCTTGATCAAGATGAAATGGAGATTAGCCCTGTAACTCCAAAAGAAGTATATTGGGAAATAAAAGAAAATATGAATCCAAAGAAACCTCCTGGATTTGATCTAATTACTGGGAAAGTGTTAAAGCAACTCCATGGGGTAGTCAAGAAACTCGCAATCATAAATTTAATGGTGTCGTGAATGACTTTAAGAAGCCCTGATTTAGAGCATACTCCTTAAACTCTAGGAGCACATCGATAGAGGTTGATTGAGACATGGCACGAGATATCCCAGAAGAGTATTGACCACCTAAACCGAAGCGTCCAGGCATATTTAAAAGTGTATCGTCTACTAAGGTGCATTAACACATTTTTAATTGACTTATCCTTGTAAGTTATTTTAATTATGTTAAACTTTTGACCTTTTTTAGTTTATTTTGCTACCCTGTATAGTTGTACATAATATTTTGAAAATATCCTAATTTGTAACATTTCCTGAGACACGTTCAATATAACTAAAGTTGTCCCTTCGACTACAACCTAATATAGTTATTCTGATTTCCACATTACTGCCCACGCCATGTCTACATTGTCAGCGCGTCCACCGCGCTACTATAGCAAGTTAAACATAGACGCAACTCGAGTTAATCAAATCTTGACCACGCAACATAAATCTAGTTCCCTAGTGCCTGTTCTGTCCGTTCTGTGTTCCGTGACCCACAACAATACAGTGTTGCCGTCAGTGAAAAATATGTCTTTGTGTGCATTTTATCAATATTTTTACGCTGAATTTGAACAGGATTTGTTTTATAGAATCAATTAAGCTGTAAGCTTAAAACGCGTCTTAAGTGGTTAGTCCGCTTAGTCAGCAATTTATTTTTGATTAACGGGACCAAAAATTAGACATTAAGAGACAAATTGTGAATTGAATTTATTTAAATAGTAAATTAAATAGTGAATTAATTATTAATTTCATGGTAATCTTTCTTAATTATTTAAATGCTGCTAGTGAAGATTACTGTTAAAAATTTGCGATTACGCAAATTTTTTCTAATGATTTAATGATTTAATAAGCATAAGCGGACCCAAGTCAGGTTGAGAAAAAAAGGGGAAGCAAATGGGTAGGCGCAAAATTTCTGGCCAATGCTTTTTAAATGCATTCAATTTTTTCGAATCCTGAGAAAACTAATAAATATTTTAAAAAAATTTAAAGCAGAATGAAAGAAAACATTATTACCGAGGGGGGTAAAGTCCCTGAAAACTTCTATAATGTTTATTTTAATCAGTTACAGTGGTAAAAAAAAGAGAAAATTTAGTGTGATTTTTAATTTCAAATATCTCAATCAAAAAAACTTTTTTTTTATTCTAAGGGACTTTCGGCCCTCGGTAATAATGTAATCTTTCATTCTGCGTTTACATTTTTTAAAAATATTTATTAGTTTTCTTAGGATTCGAAAAAAATGAATGCATTTAAAAAGCATTGGCAAGAAATTTTGCGCCTACGCCCTTAAGCTCATAGTGGGGGCGTTGATCACTAAACACAGTCTAAAAATATTATGTAAAGCGCCTTCTAACTAAATGTTTCGGTTGAGTGTAAACGCCTGTAGAGAAATCGTCGTAGCATTTGTGATTATTGGAAGTATGTGGCTGTTTATCAGTCTCATTTTCGTCTTTATGCGCAGTTTGCTTTTTTTACCTGTGAGTTCTCTTATTACTGCTTTGGCTGTTGCTGTTTTCTGGATGGTTATGTCCACGTGTTGCGTAAAGGTTAAGCCTTGATCCATAGTGACTCCTTCGCTTCTCTTTTCCATTCGATGGGATTATCTTGCACTAACAGCTGCTCCTCTGGGGTTTCCCTTTTCTCTTTAAATATCATTGCTTGTGCCTTCTCTAAATTAACTGATATTTCTATTAGGTACACCATTCTTCAATGTTATTCAATGCTATCTGTAGATTGTCGACCGCTACTTCTAAGTTTCTGTGTTTGGCCGCCATCGTTGTGTCGTCTGCATAAATGCTGAGTAGTGTAGTAGTGTTCTTTTAACATCTGCAGTGTATATTGTGTACAGTAGTGGTGACAGGATTGCTCCCTGTGGCACTCCAGCCTCCGGAGCTCTGTGCTCAGATAGTACTTGTCCTATTTGGACCTTAAAACTTAGGTTGCTCAAGTATGAAGAGATCAGCCTCATCATGGCTTTACATCCATATAGCCTTCCATTTTGTAAATAAGGCCTTTATGCCAAACTCTGTCGAAAGCTTTGCTTACATCCAGCAACCCCAGGGAGGATTTAGGGCTACACACCTCCCCTAAATGTATCTGTGCGCTTAGATTGTGTTGTTTCTTTTGTATGAAAAATTCTTTTAGAACAAGAAAGTAACGTGTCCATTTTTATTCCAAATGTCAAGTAGTTTAGGAGATAATGCAAAAAAACAATTTTTATTATGTAACTTCAAGGGCTGTAATTTTTTTTGTGTACGCTTTTGTACTGAGGTAAGTTGGATTCAGTCAATTTATTTTTGTCCGCGGAATGCGTGATTTATTTTATAATATATCTTTTTGAAACACCCTGTATTGTCTATTTACATGCAAGTCACTGTAGCAGGCCAGCTTTATTCACTATTTTTTAAGAATTTCAAAAAGAAAGAAATATATTATAGCGTAATCTATTTGAAATAACAAAGTTAATTATATTTTCAGAAAAACTAAATGTCTGACAATAATGCAAATACTACCGTAAGATCGGCCGTATTAAAAACTCACAAACCTAAATAAACAGATAAATCGTGCGAGCGGTTGAACCTACTGAAAAACTGGAAATTTAAGAAGCCAAACCTTTAAACCAATGATATTATGTTTAGCAGGTGATTAGTTCGAGTTTCATATTAATGACAAATCAATATATTAGTAGGCAGTACTAAAAATATATATTTGCCACAAAAAATCTTCAAATCAGGTATTACTACACTAATTGGTGACTGATAGCTCACTGCCCTCGATATTGGTGACAAATGAAAACATATGTACAGTGTAGTGCCGCCCAAATAAAATATTTACAATGGATACTTTTTAAAATAATAATTGCAGAACTTTTTGATAATATTAGTCTTTTATATATTTTTTCACACTTTTTGAAAAAGGGAAGTTAGGTTAACAGGTCTATGTGACCTTGGTTCCAAGGTCCATTGAAGGACATTTTCCACCCTTACAACTTTTGAACTGAAATTTTTAGAATCTAGCCTAAAATGGAACTCATCTTGAATATATTCCTTATTGCACCAAACCTGGACTTTTTGATGTTCTTGATGTATGTTTAGTAGTTTGCAGTAAATTTTGTAAGGAAAGTGTGAATTTCATACATATTCCATACTACTTGTTCCCTTAAAGGTCGCTGCGCACATGCAATTCTTCAATCGCAGGATAGGCTAGTACTTAATTTTAACCAAACAGTACCTATTTTGGCTGAGTAACCCATTTCAACAAAACTGTTGTTAATATATACTTAAAAATATTCCAATATATTCGAATTTCAAAACTTCGGTAACGAAGAAATTTCGATACTTAAAAATTTTCCAACTCCGCCTGCAGAGTAGTTGAGTGGATCAAGTTGCTCGACAGGACTGTTGCCGGTCTCAAGCCCGGATAAAGGAGGAGGGGGTCTACAGCCAGGTTAGCACCCTACTGATAGTTTTTTTTATTGGCTTTGGCTTGAAACCTTTAGCCACGTAATTACATATAAATATTAGTATTCATTCATACAGGATTGTACAAGGAGGACACTTTTCACGCTCAGCGATTCATCAGAGCGGCTTTATTGTAACAAACAAGACATAAACCACGGTTAGGTAGGTGGGCAACATATATGGTAAACATACAAAAAAAATGTTCAAGCATACGATCAATTTTACACTCATACCTTTAATTTAATTTTTACAAGAAATATCATAATTATTTTAAAGATTTTTATATTGTCTTCACTTATTAGGAGACTGATGTACTTAATCCCTCTTTTATCAATTCTTTTATCAGCCACGTGCTTGTATTACGATGTAGTGGGTAGTTGAAGAATATGTGATTTAAATCAGCTATACTAGTTCCACACTCACATCGGTCTGTTGGGAGAACTCCTATTTTGTGTAGATGTTTCGGAAAACATCCATGACCCACTTTTAATCTTAAGACTGTTGACACTCTGTTTCTGCTTAGTGTAACATCTTTGTAAAATTGTTTTACATCTACTGTGGGTTGTAGTTTGTATAATTAGTGCCCCTGCTTTCACCAAACTGAATCTATTGTCTGTCCCATTTAAATTTAATTTGTTGTTTGATATAGGCAAGTAGGTCACATATGTTAAATTCTTCTCTCACCATATGTGGGTGCTGTAATGGATTTTTAGCTATAGAATCAGCAATAGTATTGCCAACAATATCTGAGTGTCCCTTGACCCATAGAAATTTAGTACCATATGGATCTGATAGTTTTAGTAACTGTTAAAAATTTCTAATATGAATATATTGCTATTGATTGTGAATTTAAAGTTTTGTAAGGAGTGCAATACTGACAGTGAATCACTGCATATGACAATTTTGTTCCACTGGTTTTCACAGCACAATTCAAGGGCTTTGTATATAGCACACGCTTCAGCAGAAAAAATGCTGCATTGATTATTTAAAATAAATGATTTTTTAATCTTCATTTTTGGTACAAAGTAAGCACTGGTTGTACATGTTGGTGATTTTGACCCGTCTGTATAGATCACAATATGATCTGAATAGCCACTTAAGATTTCTTTAAGAGTAGTGTAGCAAAATTCGTTTTGGTATTTTGGGATAATAATATTTGTAGCTAGAACACTTGTTAGATGTGGTATATCCAACGATTCCCAGATAAGATTACAAGGAGAATTTATTAACTTCAGTTCGTTGCAAGTTATAATTGCTCTTGCAAGTGGTGGAGAGATTTTTTAACGAAGTATGTAGATGTTAAATCAGCTGTATTTAATTCAATAATTATTTTTGCATTATAAGTGCCACGATAATGTTGGTTTAGGAAATATTAGCTTGCCAGATATTCTCTGCGTGAGTGGATTTTCAGATGATAGAGCTAGGGTGGCTTCATTTGGAGTGCTTTTCATCAATCCTAACACAATTCTTAGAGCTTTAAATTGAATTCTATCAAGTTTACGTAAATTGGTTATGCTAGCTGACCCATATACCACACAACAGTAATCTATTATAGATCTTATATAGGCTCGTTAAAAATTTAATGCAATGTTTTGATCTGCACCCCACGATCTCTTACACACCATTTTAAGAAAATTAATACTTTTTTCGCAGCGACCAATTGTATAATTAATATGTTGAGTCCAAAGCAATTTTCTGTCAAGTACGACACCAAGATATCTAAATCCCGAGACAATTGGAATATCATTGCCATGTAAGGTTACAGCGTGATGTTTAATAGGGTGTTTTCTTGAAAAAAATACTACCGCACATTTTTGGTACGAAATATTGAATCCATTTAACCAGGTCCAATTATCTAAGTTGTACATAATATGTTTGAGTTCAGTAGTGCTTTCACTGTACGTTTTCTTATGTGAATAGATGACAATATCATCAGCATATTGTAAGCAAACAATATTGGGAAACCATAAATTGTGCAAATGATAGATGTGACTGATAGATTTTAAAATATACAGCTCATAGAAACAGGATTATGCCTCGATACAGGAATGATTTATTACGACGACTAAGGCGAGAAAGAGGACAACGAATTTATGGAAAACGAGATATACTTCGCATCGATACTTGGAACGTAAAGTCTCTAAACACATAAGAGCAGGAAATTACAAAAAGGCTTCCAGAAAAAATCCACCAATGAACAAGCAGATTTGCTTCTAAAGAAAAACAAGAAGATGACAATACTGCTAGACATGACAATTAAGTACAGCTCAGAAGTCCGGACAATAAATAACGAAATTTAAAATTAAATTAGCCCAGAAGATAGTCCAGGTAGCCCAGGGAAGCTTTGATATAAATTTCTCTCTAGATTTTCTTCTTCAATATTAGCCTCCTAAATTGTTTAAATCGTCGCATCATCTTTTTCTTGGTCTGCCAATACTTCTTCGTCCATTTGGTGACTTATCTCGTGCTATTCGTATTATTCTATTCTCGGCCATTCTACTAATGTGTTCGTTCCACTCCTGTTTTCGTTTTGTCAGTCATCCATTTATGTCTTCTCTATTGCATGCTTTTCTTATGTTTTCGCTTTTCGCCCTATCTAACAGACTTCTTCCTGATATTCGTCGGAGTATTTTCATCTCTCTTGTTTCTAACAGTTGTCTCGTTTTAGATGTGTCAGGTCTTGTCTTCGCCGTGTATGTTAATATAGGTCGAATTTATGCTTTATAGATTCTTGTTTTTGTGTCTTGTCTTAGATGTTTGTTCTTCCAGATTGTGTCATTAAGAGAACCCACCACTTGTTGTCGTACTTCTTCTTTAACATCTCCGTAGTAGTTATATCTATTCCCATATATCTAAACCTTGCTTCCTGCGTTATTATTTTCCCATCAATTTCGATTTTACACCTTAGTGGATATTTAGATGTTGTCATACATTTGGTTTTTTCTGCTGTTATTATCATATTGTATTTCTTAGCTGTTGTATTGAAGACATATGTTAATCTCTTTCATTTAGGTGAATTATATTTCTTACAAAAATGACCCTCTATTCTATGGTTAGCAAACACAATAAGAATAGGTGAACAATGTATTATTTTAGCGAAACGAAGAAAATTTAAGTTGGGATTTTACATGAACGTGTGTTATATTTATAAATAAAACAATTTCTTTATATACTAAGAAAAATTGCCTGACGTGGCAACGTACATGTGTAGTAAAATCACACGAAGAAATATTTACATCGCGCTCTCCAGGTTTGGTCACAAATGAGATTTTATTCCACTGGGCCAAGGTAACGGAACTGTATATGTATGATGTATTTTATTTTGGTGAGAAAATAACTGAAAGTTTACATAAATCAAAAATAAAACCTGAAAAGGCACGAACAGGTTCCAGTTATTCGAATAAATGTTTTCTGAAGATATGAAGGCATTTATAAAATGAGATGGACGTTATGTGATTATAACCAGATGGTGTGAGGTAAATATGGTAATTCTTTAAAATTATTTATTGTTTGTTTACTATTACTTAGTAATAAGTAAAACAAAAATAACAGATTTGTAAATATAAAAGTGTAATTGTTAATTATTTAGATTTGTAAGTACAAAGGAGTATTGTTCTGAAGCTATTTTCTTGTGGCATTGTAAATTAATTACTATTTAACTGGGAATAAGCCACAATTAAAGATAAAAATACGTTTATTGACGTTTCAATTTCCACTTCGGAAATCGTTCTCCTGCTTATGTTTTGTTCAATTTTAGTAGATTTTTCCAATTCAAGTTTACATAACACTCTGTATTCTTCCTTTTCGTGGGTTGGTAAGCGTTGAGATATTTTCTCCACTGAGCTTATTATGTCTAATTTTGGAACGGATGGCTGAGTAATAGCAAAGTTTAGACCCTTTGACAGTATTAAATTCTCCGTTGCATTTAAATGTCTATTTGATAGATTGACAACTGTCGCTAATATGAGAACGATTTCCGAAGTGGAAATTGAAACGTCAATAAACGTATTTTTATCTTTAATTGTGGCTTATTCCCAGTTAAATAGTAATTAATTTACAAAGGAGTAGATTGTAACATTTTAAAACAGGGATATAATAATTATGTTAGCAAATCAGGCTCTAAAAAAATCTGCTCCACATACCTACGACCTGATGAACAAAAATTTTCAAGACCCATAATTTTCTTTTTCGGTGCTATGTATGGATTTTATTTAAAGTATAGAATAGACGTAATCTTAAACACTAAATAAAGCATCATTTAGAAAATTAAAGATGTGGTTCAACAGAAGAATATTGCGAATCTTCTGGGTGGATCGTGTATCAGCAAGCAAAGTTGGGAGAAGTGATTAATATATTCATGACACTGATTAAGTTAGCAAGTACCGTACAAAATAGAGAATTAGTATTATTCCGATTTCAGATTAGAAATCTCAATATGAACAGAAAGTTCGCAGTGCCAGAAAGTATGGACGTATGTTAGACGTTTTTCTCACACCAGCAAGCAAGCACGTATTAACGTGGGTAATAAATGTTTTTAGTGATAATACTATTTATTTTGTACTTCTGAACATAAAAAACTAGACAAGCATAAATAACACTGGCGATCTTTTGCATGCTGCAAAAGACAGGCGTCTGGCCTTAAGACAATTCTCCAACTTCTTATATGCAATATAGGTGCACGGCACTATAAGAAGAAGAAGAAGACAATGTAACGTACAGTGTATAAATAAATGGGGACAAAATAGAAAAAAAATTGAATAACCACATAAGTAAAGTGGAGGAGAACCGTGTC